ATATTTGTCTGTCACATGATTCACAATAAGTTGGGAGTCACTAAAAACCTTTAGACACCTTACCTGGAACTGGTTTGCCAACCGGAGCTCGGCGAACAAGGCTTCATACTCGGTGTGATACCCCTCGATTCTAGAGCCATGAGTGATTAAGTCCGAGTACAGATCCGAGGGATATCAGACAATCAATATGTAAACAAGCATGAATAAAACTGAATTAAGATTAAAAAATAATAATAATAATAATGCGCAGAAAGAAAACTAAAATGAAAAATCCTCAAACCTTAAATAATAAATTAATATAATTTAAATCCGTACAACTTGGGAATCCACCTAGTGGACCCCTGATCCCAAATCTTTAAATAAATTTACAGAATTAAAATCCCAAAACCAAAATAGAAAAGAAATCCTATGTAACTGGAAGAGTGAGTGTCTGTATCTGCACCAACACGATCAAGCTTTAAGCTTGGTATTGACGAACACCTAAAAAATAAGAGTGGGTCAGGCCCATATGCAAGTTCCAATCTACTACAATCCGTACATAAACCCGATACGCAGATACATCCTAGATAGCTCGGCAATATCTAAACATAGTCTATATATATATATACACTATAGGATACTCACTAACCTATAGTCACCACACCTGAGTAGAAGGTAACACGCAAAACGCCGTCGCGTCGTCATGCACACCCATACCTACCAGGGAACGTCTTTAAGTCCAGTTATCCCTCCATGCGATATACGCACCCTAACCGTGATCAGGAGACTTAAGCTTGTACCACGGTACCATAAGTATATATATAAATTCCTTTCTAATACTGAAAAGTAAAGCAAACATCCATCATGTCGTTCAACTGTCTTAGTTGACAGGACATGCATCCATGTAGGATTTAACTATTTTAATTAATCCATTCCATATGTATGAATGGGTAGGAATTAACGTTGTGACCTAATTCATCCCTCTATATGACACCGTCCCATACCGGTGCATACATGCAAATGATCCGTAAATGATGCAACATTATAAGCAGTACATCAAATAAAGTCCACATTATCCACATAGTTGATAAACAGAATTTAAACAGTTCATCAACTTGCAATCCAGAATCCATCCATGTCATTGACAATTTAATTCATTTAATTAAATTTCAACCAACCCATAGTGCAGTCCAGCAGTTGACAACATTAACAATAGTAAGAGTCAATTATAAAGCTGAGAATGACAAACTATAACTCAGAAAATTCACAGTACTAACTAATAATTGCTGAAACATGTAGAACATTTAACCATTAAAATAACAATCTCCATTTAATTAATGAAACCTAATTTATTAGTTCCTTAATTAAAATCCAACCTATGCACAAATAAGACCTAATAGATACATGACCCTATTCTGTATCTAACATAGATTTCAAATCCATCCTCCAGTCATCTAAGTTGCTAAATTAAATTTACACAACTAGATACTTTACAATCGCCAAGAATGTGCGTCATTACATAAAACTCCCACACTGTGAAAACCCTTAGCATATTAGGATAAATTATGCATTGTGGGTCCTAATATAGCATAATATCATGTTTAGATTCTATGCAACAATCCGTTAAATTTTTAAAACAAAACTTAGCGCACTAGTCCTTCTGATCCGTTAACACAAAGTCGCTTATTTTTACACTGTTTATTCCATTTGCCCTATGGACCAAAATATACAATTAGAGGAATTAAAATCCCTTGAAATTACTTTTAGACTTCTCATTCCAGTCCCTAAAACCATTTAGAATTTCAAACATGGCCCAAACTGTGCCCAAATAGATCCAGAATGCATCCAAGCGTGACTTAACCAAGGGAGCCTGCTCTAAAATCAAAGAGTAGGCTCTATACCACCTAGAGCCGGCTCCCTAACCCCTTGGAGCCGGCTCTATGAAGGGGGAGACGGCTCCCACAATCTGGAGCCCTCTCTCTCTCACTTTGAGCCTTCTCCTCTGCTCCAAATTCATCTCTACTTCGTCCGGTTGCCTTCTGTGCTTCCGACGAAGCCCACTGTCCCATCCCAAGCCTTTCTAAGATTTTTAGGGTTCCATTAAAGTTCTTAGATCCCTAGAGACTCCTCCTATTCCAGTGTGAACCGGTTGACAAAAAGCTTAAACTACACACAACAGTTTATGTAGGAAGAACCAAATTCAGTTTAACTAAGCATACAAACAGTTTAAGGTCTGAAACATGCATCAACAAATCATTTTAAAGTTTTTAGTGTTAAATTATAGTCCAAACCATCCTAGAAACTCCTTGAATTCCCTTACGAACTAATTTACAGAAGTTTAAAACCATATTTAATACAGTTTTATGCAAGAACCAACTTCAGATCTTTTAAACGAAAATAAATTACTGTCTGGTATAATATGCATCATCCACCATGTTTTAATCAGTTAAATTAATCCCTGGAGACTATAAAGAATGCACAGAACACAAGTTTACAGGAAGGAGAGAATGAAACTTGCCTCTAGGTTTCAGTTTGAAACCTTTCGCCGTCTCTAAATTGCAGAATTTCCAAGACTGTATTTCCTCCTCTGATTACCGTTCCCTTCCTCTACTGCTTCATGGTTTCATCCAGAAGCAACTCTTTAATAAATCTCTCAAGACCCTCACTGTGTATCTTTCTTTACATCCCAGAGCCTCTGTTTTCCTCACAGGTTAATATTACGTGAATAGGGTTTGTTTTGAACCCTAGGAGACCATACTGTCTTTTATACATATAGGTTCCTTCTAAACCCTAATCCTAATTCCACGACTCAGTAACAGTCGGCTACCCTAATTATAAAATAAACCCTAAACTTAATTATACTAAACCAATGAGCACAACTGTAAATAGAATTATAAAAAAATACCATTAAAACAAACACATAAAGTCACGTAAATAATAATTACATTTAAAACAAATCATGCAAACAAATAAATAATTAATTTACATAAAACTACAATTAAACAATTAGCAACTACACACATAAGTCTAATTCCCATTAGTAAAACAAAAAGCACATAAATTAAATTCAAATTCCCATTTTATCCCTTTTGAAAACTAAGGGTATTACACTCGGCTTCATTGTTAGTGGCAGAAAAAGTCAGACGGATTGACTACTGCAGCTTGGTGCCTTCAGGGGTTGTGATAACGATTCTGGCCCCGGCACTAGTTAAGTTCAAGGAACCGTCTACCCGAAGCTCCTATTGTGGTTCAAGAGGGTCCGGCTCTTCGGGTTTATCTTCATATTCAAGGAGGAAGTCAGCCAATGCCTGGCCTTTGTGTGACATCTTTGGCTCACAAGATATATTGAATGAACTGAGTTCGATTGCCCACTTAGTTATTCTTTCGGATAAGTCTGGCTTGGAAAGAATAACTCGCATAGGGTAGTTGGTTAAGACTACGATGCTATGAGACTCAAAATAGTGCCGAAGTTTCCTCTTTGCATACACCAATGCTAGTATGATCTTCTCTGCTTTGCTGTACCGCGTCTCAGCATCTGTCATTGTCTTACTTGTGTAGAAGACAAGGTATTGATTCTTTCCTTCTTCTCTGATCAATATAGCACTTGTGGCTATGCCGGAGATTGCTAAGTACATGATGAAAGTTTCACCAGGCTGTGGAGCGGACAGGATTGGAGGTTCAGCCATGTAGCACTTCAACTAATTGAGAGCCATTTGCTACTGAGGTACCCATATATCTTTGTTCTTGTATTTTATTGCATCAAAGAATGGTTTGCACTTATCTAATAATCGAGATATAAAACAGCTGAGAGATGCGATTCGGTAAGTTAGAACCTGTACTTTCTTGCGAGTTTTTGGTTCCTGATTTTGTATGAGGGCCTAAGCTTGAGCCGGGCTTACTTCTATTCCTCTCTTGTTGACAATATGGCCGAGGAACTGCCCTGAAGAGACTGCAAAAAAACACTTGGAAAGATTCAACTTCATGTTATACTTTCTCAAAGTGTCAAAGACTTCATGGAAGTGCTTGGGATGATCCTCCTTCTTCACACTTTTAACCACCATGTCATCGATGTAGGCTTCGACCGTTCTTCCCAGCATCTCGTCGAAGATCTTGTTAACGAGACATTGGTAAGTTGCCCCAACATTCTTTAGTCCGAAGGGCATAACTTTGTAACAGTAGGTGCTTTTCTCTGTTATGAAGGCGATTTTCTCTTCATCCTCTGGATTCATAGGGATCTGGTTATACCCGGAATACGCATCGAGGAATGTGAGTCTCTCAGAGCTAGTGGTAGCGTTGACCATTTGACCTATCTTGGGAAGTGGAAAGCTATCCTTAGGGTAAGCCTTGTTGAGATTGGTAAATTTTATGTGCACTCTCCATTTTTCATTCTTCTCCTGAACTACCACCACGTTCAAGAGCCATTGTAGATAGTGCACTTCTCGGATGAAGCCTGCTTGAAGCAGTTTGCTTACTTCTTCAGCAATGATTCAATTGCGTCAGGAGCGAACCTTCTGTGTCTTTGCTTAACTGGTTTGAATGCCGGATCCACCTTCAGACTATGGCATGAGATTGAAAGGTTGATTCCTACCATGTCCGAATGATCCCAGGTAAACGCATTTGCGTTCCATCGAATAACATCAACTAACGCTTCTTTCTCTTCGGCTGTGGGGGAAAAGCCCATATAAGTGACTTTCTGGGGATCGCCGAGGATAAATTTGACGGCTTTGAGGGATTCCTCTGTAGGCTTTGTAGCTTCAACTTCATCCTCCGCTTTTAAATACTTGGGTAGAGGGCTATGTAATTGTTATTTGGAAATACTTTCGGGGGTCGCAACTGGGTGGGACTGGTTGATCATCTTCTTTACTTCATTTAGTGTCAGCATGTAGCATTCTTTGGCAGTGACCTGATCTCCCCAAAGATTAATAACCTTCTTACTATCCGGAGACAAGCATCGCATCACCTAGTGAAGGGTAGACGGAACCCCGTTCGTTCGGTGGATCCAACCTCTTCCCATAATGAGATTATAAGAAGGATGAATTTCTGTTAGAACAAAGTTTTCTTTCAATGTCCTTTTTTGCCGCAGTGACAGATAAATCAATCACCCCAAGGGGGTTCACCTTTGTGCCATCGAACCCCATCAAAGGACTAAAAGTGGGCTGTATTGATGATGAAGGGATCTTCAGTTCCTCTAAGACTGCCTTTGTGATAATATTGGCACTGCTACCTAGGTCAACTAAAACTCTTTTGATCATATAATTTGCCACCAGAAGACTAATGACTAGCAGATCCTCGTGGGAAAGCTGAACTCTGGATAAATCTTCATCGCCGAACCCAATACTAATACTGCCCGAGGCAATAGTGTTTACTGAGGATAACTTCCTTAGCTTGTGGGCTGCCTTCAGTCTGGATCGATACATTTCTTCTGTCTCTTGGTCGTCCTCTGATCTCCCATGTATTTCATGAATGACTTTTACTTGATTGCCTTCCACTTTCCGAGGGTTGACCTCCCAAGGCTTCACGTACTCTTTTGGTGTGAGGTAGTCTGCCAACTCACCTCTTGTTATCATGTTTTCCACTTGCCGCCTAAGGGATCTGCAATCATTAGTTGTATGCCCATAATCCTTATGGTAGGCGCAGTGTTTACCCTTATCCCTTTGCTCTAAAGGTTGCCTTATTGGCTGAGGGGCTGCGAATCTCACTTTGTTTTCTTGGAATAGCCGAGCCAAGGTGGTACGAAGAGGTGTTAACCTTTCCTCTGTCCTTTACCTCTTCTTAGGTACCGGAGCGACCAGTGCTGAGGCATACTGGCTTTTTTGACTTTTTGAACTTGAAAATTTTTCTCGAGACTTATTTTTTACTATAACAAGGGTGGCATGTTGTGCTTGGTAGGCTATATTCTCCTCAAGTCGTACGTAGATCTTGCCCTAGTATTGAGAGTTTGCATGTCTGGAAGGGAATATTTGACTAGGGAGGTATGAAACTTAGTACCCTGAATCATATTGATCTTAAATGTCTCTATAGCAGTCTCAAGATGACAATCAGCTATTTATGAGGCTTCCATGTTAAATCTGGACTGGTAATCCTGTAGCGTTTCTCCTCTGTTCTGCTTTATGGTGAAGAGGCTAGAGATAGTCTTTTTCTGCTTCTTGTTTCCGCAGTATTGGGCTAGGAACATAGCACACAAAGTTTCATAGTTCGAGATGGATTTGTGCAGCCTTTTCTTGAACCATTCCAATGCGGCTCCCGTTAAACTAGTCGGGAAAACCTTACACATGAATGCATCGTTGTGATTGTCCAGAACTATCTTTTGTGAATAGTGGTTGAGGTGACGAGAATGATCTCCTGTGCCATCAAACTGAGTGAAAAAAGGCATGGTGAATTTCTTAGGTCTGTCAACAAGGTATATATCATCGGTGAACAGAGTTTTCACTAGAGAGTTCTTATGCTCCTGGCCATCTCGGCGGGCGTCTGGATCCTTAGGAGCCTCTTCTTGTCAAAAGCCTCCTGGACACCAGCGCCATCCGGAATACCATTAGTCCATACCGTAAGCTTACAGTTGGACTCGGCCTATTCATCCTGTATGCAATGAGGATGATTGCCTGAAGCGACCGCTTTGGTTCTCGTCCTCTGCTCTTGCTGAACTTCGTTAGGCTGAACCTCGTTAGCCCGACCATCATTGGCTTGAGGTTCGTTGACCAGAGGAATGTTGCGGTTGGGGGAGGTGCCACCGCATCACCTGGTGGTAGCTGAAGCAGAGCAATCTGGGCCGTGCTGGCCTCGTTTGCTTGACGAAGTGTTTCGAACTGGTACAAGAACTCTTCTTGCATCTTTTGCATTAACTCCTTCTGTTGATCAACTGTTGTTGCAAATCCTCCGGTTGACATTCCAGATCGTAGTAACATAAATAATTTGAATCAATCATGGGAGTATATTTTTATACGGTTTCCACAGACGACGCCAAAGTGTAGGTGCAAAATTTCTCTCTATAAAAGAATTTAAAAGAAATAATACAACTTACTCAAAATAAAACAATAAGCAATAAGAATTACTCAGAGAGAAGCGTATATTGCTCGATAATCTTTATTGGAGGTCTAGGCCTCTATTTATATATAAAAAGGTGGCGGAATTATCGTAGGACTCGCCTTGCTTGTCCTCCAATTCATTCCATATACATCATTATTTGCAAATAGAGTTCTTTCCTTTTCATAATTCTTTCCATGCCAAACTTTCCTTGCATTTAGCTTTTCTTCTATGATGAATCCTTTGACTAGCAGGACTGGTTCATTCTTTAAATGAATTTAGGCCGAATGCATCTTGGTTCGAATGACTTTGTTAATGGGCCGGAAGTTCAACATTAGCGACCTTGGGCTGTTGGTGTCTTTATCTGGGCTTGAACATGATTCGGCTTTTGTAACCCATCAAGAGGTTAAATATAAAACTTCTATTGTGACTACGTGGATGATTTTTATTGGAGGGGAATTTTTTCCTCCACTGTTAGTTGTTACAATATTTCTCATGATTGGCGAGAGAGCAAGCACGTAGTTTGAGTTAAAAGGAAACGTAATCTCAAAATTTACTTAAAACAAATAGTATAGACGAATTAGAAGAAATTAAACCAACTACATATGTACTTAGGATACGTCAACAACGTTATATACTCCTTAGATATATTAGTGTCACTATTCATGATCTTCTGTATCCTGACAATTGCATCATCCAACTTCTGCAGCCTTTTGCTTGTAGTCATTTGATGTCTCGCACAATCAAAATAAATTTTTCTGTTGTGATTGAAATTAGAATGCATTCCTCTATATATATATATATAAATTTTTCTTTTGTGATTGAAATTAGAATGCATTCCTCAAAAGGACTTATATATATATATATATCTGCAGAAAGATATAAAAAATAATAATAAAAATAGAGCATGTAAATTGGACACCTATTTTCATGTAAGAAAGTATATATATATATATATTACCATTCTATATATACAAGTTTACCTTTTAACTAAAAAAAAAAAGTATTTATATATATATATATATGATTTCTTGAGAACTATCAATAGCATGTTAACGCATTGTTTGAAAGTCCAAAAATAACCAAACCTTTATGTTAGCGATTGTCTGAGTAGAAGGTTCAAGTTGAAGAGATACAACAAATTTAATAGAAACAAAACAATAATTTTTATTCTAAGTTAAACCTAATAGAATCTTTAACTAAATCACATTTATGAGAATAGCCGGCTTAATTTTTTTTTTTAGAAAAAAAAAATTAAACAAAAAAATAAAAAACAAAAAATTAAATGTCCAAATTGATTTCAAAACATTAAAAAAAATAGAAAACCCTAGAGCTAATTGTGTTGATTCACATTGAAAAGATTATAATACATCAAGGAAATAAAATTTTTTATTATTGTATTTTACACCACTAGATTTATACTTTTTTTGGTATTTATACTGATAAAATTTTAAAATTACCCCACTAAAATTATAAAAAATCCCCTCTATATAAATTTTCTCCCATATGAATTTCTAGATCCGTCCCGATCTAAACTGTGATCATGTGTGTTGTGTATATTTCAATATTAATTACTTCTTAACAAAACATGCATATGCATATGTATATATATGTATGTGTATATATATATATATATAAATATATATGAAGTTGCATAACAAATTCACCACAAATCCTAAAATCTGTTAATAATTGAAGAATCATCTATGTGTGTGTGGATATATATATCAATGAAGTTGCATCACAAATTAAGAGGAATGTTCTTAAACATTAATTCGATCTCTATCACATGCACATACAAGACACATATACAGCAGAAGGTCATGATAAAAATAAAAATAAAACCCTAACTAGTTCAATTGTCTTAGGATTTGACACAGGAAGTGTGAAAAAAAAAAACGTACCCATCTCTTTACTTTCTTATTTGTTTTTCGGTTGATACCCATCTCTTTACTTGTTCGTTCCCCACTCATTTTTCTACTAGATTGATGGATTCTTGTGGTGCATGCAAAGAAGAAAAAGGGAGATGAGCTTTTTTTAGAATATATATATATACATATATATATAGAGTTGTTCCAGTTGTAAAAGAATAATGTTAATCAAATTACATAAATTGAAATAATAAAACAACCACCAACCAGAAATAATTGATTGAATTCTACTCTCAATAAACCTATTTACTGTAGAATAAGGAACTTGATCGGAAACTATTTATAGTAGAACAAGAAACTTGATCGGAACCTTTTTTAAAAAAGTTGAAATTGCCAAAAATTCAACCTTCTTTAAAAACTATACAAAAAATGGAAAGAAACCTGATTATTAATTACTAAAAAGCAAAATAATTATAATCTTACTTCTGATAATTTTCTGAAATCTACAAGAAACTGAAAAAAATAATATTAATAAATAAATAAATCAATTTTAGAGTCTTGAACAGTAAAGTTGTTAATTTGTGCGAGTTAGCCGAAAGATATCTAAAGTGAGATCTTGTCAAAAATTATTTTTTGGGGTTAACTTTTCACTAATTGCATTTCATTTATCATTGTCTTGTAAAGGAAATGACAAGAAAGTCTTTAAATTCATTAATGTACAATTCCTTAATTTATAATGTCATAATTAACTTTTATACAACTTTAATTTTTTTTTAAAGAAAATAATTTATTCCATAGTAATAATTTTATTTTTAACAATCAAAAGGGATAATTTATTCCATAGTGACTTTTTTTTTTTTTTTTGTACAATTGAAAGAGATATTTATTCAACAAAATTAACTTGTTTTTAATCCTATCAAAAGAGGTAACTTTATTTTTTGGTAATTTTTTATGGGTCCTATTAAAAGAAATAATTTATTCGATAAAAATAACCTCTTTTATTTTTGGATCTTATAATTTATTCAATAGAGATTATTATTATTTTTTTAATCATCTTCCTTTTGTAATTTTTTTTTTTTTTTTTTGTCCATATCTTGACAACAGATATAATTTCTTCAATGAATATAAATAAATTTTTTTTTTTTTTCATGTCAAAAAAGATAATTTTTTAAATGATTACTTTTTATTAATTTATTCTTATTTTTTTAAAAAACTTCACAAGTAACTAAAGTCAGCACTTGTCTGAGTAGGTTCAAGTCGAAGAATACAAAAAAAAAAATAATAAAAAAAAATTAAATAAAAATTCAATTCAAGTACTTAAACCTAATAGAACCTCTAATTTAATCACATAAATAAGAATATATTATCTCAATTTATTTATTTATTTTTTACCCTGCTATATAAGCTGAAAAGCTAGAACTTCAATTTGTTGTAAACAAAAAAGGAAAAAAGAAGTAAAAAAAACCCTAAAAAGTTAAGAGTCCAATTTGATTTAAGAACATAAACAATGGAAAACCCCTAGAGCAACATTGTGTTGATTTATATTGTTACAATGATAATGTAAACTTTAATTATTCGTGCAAATCATTAATCACAAATAAACATGAATTCCAAGATCATTATTTTCACATTCTTATAATACATAAATATGTACTTATATATATATACCTCAATTCACGATAGCAAATTTTGTTGAGATCAAATTCAACGTCCGAGATCCTTTAACAATGAATTAAGCTGCAAGTGGAAATCGATTTCTCTCTCTTACCCTTTTTACACATATAAACACTATATGTGTTGTTTTATTAGCATACATAACTGATGGATATATGTACTTTTATAAAGGCAGAGAGAGAATCAGTTTTTCTTTAGTAACCCTTGTTGAGCAAATATGTATCATATACTATAGTATAATTTATTTAAATATTATTTGTAAATATAATATTTATTATAATAATCTATATATATTTATATAGTTTAATATCAAGAAAATAAAACTATAAAATAAAAGAACCTGTTAAAGTCGAGGCTAGAATTTAATTCTATAGCCTTAAGACAGATACGCCTCGCTACGGTGCCAACGGACTCTTCGGCGTCTCTCTCCCAGGATACAACGACTTTTCTTCCTTTGGTAGTAGCACTTTAAACCAACGGACTCGAAGTGAGTGACTAAGGTTCGAACCCAATTAGTTAGGGTTGAACCCAAACAGAATCCCTAAGGTTTGAACCCAATTGGTTAGGGTCGAACCCAAACAGATTATAAAAGAAAAAGAGGGAGAAGAAAATTCAGAAGAGAGAAGATTTTGTTCTGAATTTGGTATATTGAAATGAATCCAATGAGGGCTATTTATAGGCTTAATGGTGCCTATTCCAAATGGGTGCACCCATATTCTGAATGGATGCAACCATTGTGGACCAATGAGACATTAGAAAGCCAAAACTGATTTAGGTTTAAAAGGTGCAACCCTTGGTTCAAACAAAAATTTTTTATGGTTTTTAATTTGAATTTAAACCCAAGACAGATTAATCTGATCCAGCCCAGCAAGCAACTTCGGCCATTAAGGTTAGACCCATTTTACAATTAAGCCCCGCCCAAGCCCGGACCGGACCGGGTCGGGTCGGCCGGGCGGCGCGCGCGTGTGGTAGTTGGTTCGGATCCAGGCTAGCCTAGGTCCTCCCCCTCTTAAAAACTTGGGTGCCCTTGGGCCCAAACCCAAATCTCATACTAGACATATATATACTCAAGGTTGCTTTGCTACTTTTTCGATGTGGGACAAGCATTTCCCACTTTATTCACACCCATTTAGGCTTTATAAATCACTTACTTTGGAGCCAATTTCTCATTCACCCGGAAACGGATTTGAGAAAATAAATATACCACGTTCATCTCCTCGCAGAGAGGAACGCACTCGTCAATAGATTCGCAAAAAATTCTTAGCGGAATCTTTTAAAAATCCTTCCAAAGTTTGCGTTTTCTAATGCCGTTTCCAACA